GAGGGAGGAGGGGGGTGATGTAAGGCATCAACATGTCTGACAACGAAGCCCTCCATGGAGGTCAGAGGTCGTGGAGACACGCTGAAGGAACACTTACGACAGGTGAGGCACAGGAAGCAGGTAGACGCGCTCAACCCGACCAATTCCCGACAAGCTGGAGTAAACCTGGCCAATCCCCGACAAGCTGGAGTAAATCCGACCAATCCCCGACAAGCTGGAGTAAATCCGACCAATCCCCGACAAGCTGGAGTAAATCCGACCAATCCCCGACATGCTAGAGTAAACCCGACCAATCCCCGACAAGCTAGAGTAAACCCGGCCAATCCCCGAGAAGCTGAAGTAAATCCAACCAATCCCGACAAGCTGGAGTAAATCCGACCAATCCCCGACAAGCTGGAGTAAATCCGACCAATCCCCGACAAGCTGAAGTAAACCCGACCAATCCCAGACAAGCTGGAGTAATCACAGTGAATCCGAGATTGGCCGGTGTAATCTCGCCTGGTTCACGACAGGTGGAATGATCCTGCTCAATCAGCGACAAGCTGAAGTAATCCCGCTCAATTCGAAACAGCCTGAAGTAATCCTACTCAAACCGCAACAGCCTGAAGTAATCCTGATGAATCCGTCTGGTGGTTCACGAGGCGCGGCATCTCTCATTCCCCAAGATTTTGATAATGCCCGTCCGGATACCTGGAGTATACCTGGAGTATACCTAGGGTATACCTAGAGTACACCTGGAGTATACTTGGAGTACTCGACACATGCTAGAGACAGCGACACACTTACTGATGGATTTAAAGCAACACTCTCCACGTGGATTAGGCTCGTTACTTAGCTTAACTACCGAACCACCGTTACACGAACACTTTATATAAATACATACAATTCTGACTTTGAAATAACAAAAGAAAATGAGTTGGATTATGGAAAACCTAGAAACTAACAAATTAACAAACATCTTAGTCAAGTTAACTTGGATTAGGTTCTAATTTAGATCAAAATGTAAATCAACAAACTAATCCGTCCTACTTAAGTGATTAGATTTCCCAAATTTGTTATATACATAATATAGATAACGAACAAGTACATGAACGTGTATTAAACGTTCATGTAATTGGTAAGGTAATTATGAGGAGACGTGCCAAGCTACTATGACTAGTCAGCACTTGGAAGGAGTGTGAGAAGACGGAGGTGGGACCTGAGGACCAGGTGAAGGAACGGTGCCCAACCACTACGGTTATTTGAGGACGAATGTTGAGGCAGAGAACATTCTATTGACACCAGACGCTGCTCAATATCTTCCCAGCAAGCATAAGAAATATTCACGGAACAAAAAGGTGGATTTTTCAAGAAAATCTAGACACGTTCCTGTACGAAATTCCGGAGCAAGAGGGTTGTAGTGGATATGTGAGCAAGCGGGCCGCGCCAAGCAACAGCCTATTGGACCAAGTTGTTACAAGTCAAACCTGGCCTAGTGGCCAGGCTTGGGAATTTGAAGAACTCCCGGAACCCACTCCAGGTATGATCCAGGTATGACCGTAACAGAAGCAAGGTCGTCGCTATACCTAGCGGTCCAAGTGGCTGGGTTATACTGTAGAAGTTATCTTGAGGTTATCTTGAGATGATTTCGGGGCTTTTTAGTGTCCCCGCGGCCCGGTCCTCGACCAGGCCTCCACCCCTAGGAAGCAGCCC